ACCCCTGGAGATTTTACTCAGCAGCCCCTCTGGCACTGGAGATTTCACCAAGCGTCACTCATTCGCTTTCAAGCATTTTAAGAAACTGAAAGCTGGGATTTCCCTGGTTGCCGGATTCTGCAGCTGACGCCTCACCTCCTGAGGCACTGCTGCAGAATCGTGGCAAAGGAGCAATGCGGCCAACAGGAAAGAAGAGATTGCTTTGTGGTCTGGCACAAGTCCCAGCCTCACTTTCCCACTAGTGAAACAGGACCAAGGATGAACGAACCATACCACAGGCTTGAGACGAGGCTGAACGGAGAAGATGATGATCTCACTCACCTCCTGAGACTTAAAGAGGAACAGAACGGGCTTTAAAGCCAATACAGGAGTGAAGGAGAGGAGGGGCAAGCCTATGCAAAACTGGAGGGTCAAAAGTAAGGCAGGCATCCTACTGAAATCATCAGGACATCTTCTGTGAATCTGACCTTCTTTGGTTTTCAAAGGGTTTCCTCCTCTCCACCCTGAACCTAAACAGATCTGCTTAAAAGTCAAGTCCATTCTCCTCAATCAAACTCCGTTTCGTATGCCTTTCTCTCTCGCTTGATCCTGCCCCAGAGGATAAAGCAACACTCTTCACGGGAAGGAAAGGGCATTTATTGTCTTCATTACCACCCTGCCTTTCTTCCTAGCATGGACCTCAAGGTGGCTTAACATTGGATTCCCAGGAGTCCCCTCCTCCCAGTCCAGGCACTGCCCAAACTCGGCCCCGCTTCGTTTCAGTGAGGCCACTGCATCGTGCGCCTTTGGGAACCAGCACAGAGACGTCTTCTTGAAAGACATTCGGTGTGGCTGTCCCTAGACACAGATCTGCAGATGGGTCTGAATGATGGCTGCTCCCCAACGTGCAATGTCCACATGTGAACTGGACCACGCCACAGGCCAGTCGTGTTCCACACGCAAGGACTGAGCCACCGCATCTGCACTGCAAAACTGGTGCGATCGCTAAGATGGCGACGCAGAGGGGCCACCAGGTGGTCGGTGATCTCAAAGACCTCAAACCGGAGATTCCGCACAGTCACTCCCTGTCTGAATGGACAATGCCGACCTCGATGGACCGGGAGTCTGACTCAGCAGAAGACCGCTTCGTGTGTGTGTGGCGGAAGGGGCCTTGGCCCACTGAGCCATCACAGGCAGCCCCTTCCCCACCTTCACAAATGCAACACCCACGGCTGATTATTCCTCCTCCTCAGTCTTGTCCCTGAGCTCCGGCTCCTGATGGTGCAGCGCCTCCTGCATCCCAACCAGCCACCCAGTCACAGGGAAGAGCAGCAGTGCCACCGTGTGGCCCCACGTCTCTGGATGCTGCCGGGAGCCCTTCGCCGCAGAGCCACACGATTCCAAGGGCTGGTTTCGTGACACTTCAGTTACTGAAGGGGGGGAGGGAGAGGTGGTGTCTGCCTTTAGAGACCCCGGGGGCAGGGCAGGGCAACAGGTCCAAAAGGCACATCTACATAAACAGTTCCCCAATTCCAGAAGCCTTCTCCCTGCTTATTCCCTTAACAGGAAGAGTGCCGGCAGAATAACAGCTGTGCTCTCTTACTGCATGGTTAGAGTACTATTGTGAAAGGAAAGATAGGATGTAGGAGGCCTGCCCATCCATCCGTCTTTCTCTCTCTCCATAGACAGATAACATTAATATCATTGGTGTGCTGGTCACTCCAGTCCTATCCCAAAGACTCAAAGGCTACCATATGAAAAGGGCATTCAATCCTAAACCCTTTCGAAAGAGAGGAAGAGCGTTTTTAAGATGTCCAAGCAGAAAGCCGCAGGGTTAAATATTCTCCCTCCACACACACACATACAGCTCTCAGCACCAATGTGATGTATTCCCCCATCTCTCACACAGCGGAGACCCCAGCCCCTCACTCCCAGTCCCCAAAACATCGAATAGAAAACATTGATCAAATTAAGGGGTGTCACTGCTCTGGTGAAGAACTCCCGGGGGGAAATTTCACCCGCTTGGTTCTTTGGGTAAGCTGCTTGGTGAGATCTCGCCTCCCGCGTCCTTTTCTTGCAGAATTACTGCCCCTGTTAAACTGCACATTTAACTAACTGGATGACCCCACAAAAAGGAGGAGTCTCACGCCCCAAAGAGTAATTATTTTATTCCAGCATTAAGTACGGTGCTGACAAAGCAGGTTCTCGTCCGTGAGAGTTCACGCGGGAATACGTTCTTGTTAAGTCTTTAAAAAGAACACCACAAACCTCCTCCTGTGGGATTTTTTTGCTAACAGGGCTGCCTCTGTGGAGTTAAGGAACCCAAATTATGCCTGACTGAGGTGGTTATTAACATCCCAAGGAAGCCAACACACACACAACACACACAGAGGAAGACTAGGGACTTCACACATCCAGCATTTGTTTCCTCCCTCCCCCCCCCTTTTCGGGACAGCAGCTGTTTATGGAAAGGGAAAATCTCCCCCCTGCTGCCCATCTGTGGAAAGAGGCTGTAACAAAAATATTGAACATCACTGCGTTTTGCCAAGACAGGCTGCGGTCTCAAGGCTTTGCTGATTTTGCCCTGCCAGCTCTGCGCCATCACTTATTCATCGCCAGCGGGCCCAGCCCAGATTTAAGAGAGCCGAGCAGACACAGGGCCTGCCGTCACGGAGATTCTGAGGTTTCCTAAAAGCACAGGCTGCCATCTGAAGGAGCCTTGGGATCCAGGGATCGTCAAAAGCGGCAGGCAGCCTGAGGAAATAGGGCGGCCTCTACACACTTGAGTGCCAACCAGACTTTACAGATTAAGGGCTGGCAGAGCGAATCAAAGGGAACATCTTACTAAATGGGAGGTTCCTCTGGTCTTCCATGGTGAGGTTTAGCTCTCATAAAAAGAGCTCCTTCCCAGACCCCCCCCCCCCCACAAAAGGTCTGGGTGAAAAAGACCCTTTAAAGCATTCATGCTACAGATGTCCTTTAACCAACCAGGAGTCTGCAGGGTAATTACTGCAACTGATCAGAGGCGAGGTGATGCCACCCAGTGCTTTAAGACCAGAGCTGTCATCCAGGAAGTGTCTGGTTCAAATCCTACCTGAACAACCCCGTCTCTCTCTCTCTTCTTATCAGATCCATTTAACCAACCCCAAGTGCGTAATGGAACCGCCATGTTCACAGACAGGATACCGCTCAATACCAGTTGCGGGGAGTGGGGGGGGGGGGACAAAAGGAGAGGCTTTCCCCTCGGGGCCCCTCTGCGCCTCGGGGCCCTTCCAAGGGCATCTTCCTTGGCCACTGTGGGATGCTGGACTAGACGGGCTCTTAGTGTGATTCAGCAGGGTTCTGCTGAAGGGTCTTATTGTAATTTCAGCACATGATTTTGCCTATTCAGATGCCAGGAAATACCTTCTCACACGATGGATGGTAACTGCAGGCCTTTAGTCAATCACCCTCCTCTTTGGCCCAGGCATCACAGAGGGCTGCCACAATGACCAAGGGGATATGCTGGAGAAGCACTGTGGCTTATGCTCTCTGCTGGGCATCAAAGTGGGCTTCAACCAAGAAATCACTGGCTGGACACATCCAGTCTCAGACCCCGACTTGCAACACCACTAGCCTTCTTTACAGCCTTACTTGCAGAAATATGGGGATAAAAACAGCAGGACTAGGATAGGAGGCGGATTTTTTTTTTTGCAAAAACTTTTCAGCAGTCTCTCTTTCTAATCTCCCTTCCCCATTCATTTTAAAACAACAAACCTGGAAGGCAGGTTAGGGAGGACTGACCTCAAGTCACACAGTAAACCTTCACGGTTGGGTATGGATTTGACCCCAAGTCCCAGTCTGACACCCAAACTCCTACCCAACATTAGGAAAGAGCAAGAGTCTAGTAGGACCTTAAAGACTAACAAAAATATGTGGCGGGTGATGAGCTTCCGTGAGTCACTGCTCACTTCTTCAGATACAGCTAGAATGGGAGTCCATCAGTCCTATTTACTGGAAAGCGGTGTGATTTCAGATGCCGAATGACATCAGCACGCTAATAATCCATAAGAATAACACACAGTCCCAAGACAGTCTGGTATGAAGAAATATACAGATGTGTGCTAGATGCTAGATGTTATTGTATTGTTCTGTGGGCTTCTAGCACACTGTATATTTCTTCATACCAGACTAAAAGGTAAAGGTTCCCTTGCTCAAAAGCTAGTCGAACCCGACTCTAGGGTTGCGGTGCTCATCTCCGCTTCAAAGCCGAAGAGCCAGCGCTGTCCGAAGATGTTTCCGTGGTCATGTGGCCGGCATGACTAAACACCAAGGTGCACAGAACGCTGTTACCTTCCCACCAAAGTGGTACCTATTTAACCTACTTGCAATTTCTTGCTTCCGAACTGCTAGGTTGGCAGGAGCTGGAACTAGAGATGGGAGCTCACTCCATCATGCGGCACCTGGGTCTCGAACTGCTGAACTACTGACCTTCCACAGCCTGCAGTTCAGCGTCTTAACCACTTGAACCACCGCAGCTCCATACCAGACTATCAGCAGGCAAATGACAATAGCAGACATGATTGGATTAGGTGTGATATGCAGGGGGGCAGTAGGCATGGAGAAATCCGCACTAGTAATGAGACAGGAAACCTAGGTCTCAATTCAGTCCAGGTGGATGCATTGTCTTGAGCTTCGTTATCAATTGCAATTCAGCAGTCTCTCTTTCTAATCTCCCTTTGAAATTCCTTTGTAAGAGAACTGCTACTCTTAGGTCAGCAACTGAATGTCCTGGAAAGTTAAAATGTCCCCCCACTGGTTTTTGAATGTTGTGGTTCCTAATGTCAGACTTATGTCCATTCATTCTTTGGCACTGGCCTATTTGTCCATTGTAAAGGGTGGAGGGGCACTGCCACATATTTTGTTACTCTTTAAAGTGCTACTGGACTCCTGCTCTTTTCTACCGCTACAGACAGAAGAACACAGCTACCCCACACTCATTCTCAAAGCTGCATCCATCCTAATGCAAACTAATGCAAATTACCTGTCTTGGTTTTACACCTGTGTGGTTAGAAATCCCATGCCCTTCGATACACCAGGCTGCTTCCCAATGTCATCAAGGAGCCCAGTTCCTCCCACCCTTTCCTGAGCAGGTGCTCATTTAGAAGCCACGGCCACACAGACCCTGCCAAGACCAGAGATCTGCGACTTACCGGCTGCATGGTGCCCCCTGCAATGATCACGGCCCGACACTCCTTCAGCACCTGGGCAAAATGGACGGCTGGATTCAGCAAGAGGAACTTGAGGCTGCTCTGAGCTAAGGTGCCTGGAAAACAGAGGTGAACGTATCAGAGGAGTGGACAGTGTGACATTCCTAAAGCACTGGCAACAGTTTTACTGCGCCATCGTTGCCTGGTTTTTGTGTGCGCGCACTCCCTGCTGCTGTCTCCAATAAAACTGTTCCTGTAGGGGTTTCAGCTCGCTTCCAGCTTCACATTGCAAAAGCCCTTCCGAGAAGGGAAACAGTCTATTTGATAGTTGTGTATACAGCTACTGTGAGCTCCGCCCCCCCAGCTCTTGTGGCATCGCTCCATCACATCCAATTAGAGAGGTCAAGGGTAAGCTTGCCAACTCCCTTCAACAGACGCTTGATTGGATGTTATTTAGCACCATCCCACGAAAAGCTCCAACTGCCCATTTCCATGCATCAAGCCTCTTTTCACTGGACCCCACCCTCTGACTCCTTGGGGCTAAGCCGTTGGTTTCCGATCAGCAGAGTTTTTGACGAGCGCTTCAAGGTGGCTGCAGCGGTCACATGAGCACCTGCACACTTTGAAAGGGGGGGAAGCCGATTTGGTCCCCTTCCCTTGAGGTGGAGCGTTCCCGCCCCCAGTCCTAGAGAACTGAGGGGCTCCATTTCCATGCTAGCTGGATGGCACAAGGGCGCCCCTTCTGTCTTTACAAGGGACTTGCAGACATCCTGGCATACCCTCCAGGTATTAGCCCGAGAAACCCGGCTAAGGACTTGCAGACATCCTGGCATACCCTTGGGGACCCCAGAACTCTCCAGGTATTAGCCCGAGAAACCCGGCTATACTTGTATAATTAATTGCATTCCATCGAGTCACAAACGACTCACGGTGACCCCAGGATCATGGAGTTTTCAAGGCAAGAGATCAGCAGAGGTGGTTTCCCATGGCCTTCCTTTGCATAGGCTACCTCAGTGGCCTCCCAACCAAATACTCACCGTGGCTGACCCTGCTTAGCTGCCAAGCTTTGACGAGCTCAGGCAAGTCAGGCTGCCACTTGTTCAATCAACCCAAACATCACAAAAGGAGGCCACCGTGCTCTCTCTCACCCACAGGAGCCGTACCCAGTAGAGCCCGCCCCCTAGAACTTTTCACTGCTCAGGGAGCATCTAACAACGTTCTTGGAGAAAGGCTCCTTCAAGAAGCCACCAAGCCCCAGAACAGAAACCGCCTGGCTCACGCCTGGTTCTGGGACAAGCATCTTCTCTGAGCTTAAGTAACCCACAGTAGTATTTATTCCAAAAATGCCATCAACATATGGAGTACCTTGCCTGGTGAGAATGACTCTCCCATCTTGGTTGGCCGTGGTGAGCGCAGTCAGGAAGCCCTCGATGTGCATCAGAGGAGAGGCCATCTTGGGCGGGCCATCATCAGCCTCTTCAGGAGGGCTCTGTGGGTTGCCTGTCAATCAAAGGGCCGAGTCAGACGGACAGCCTGGTCCCAGGTGGATCCAGCCACTAACAGAGTACTGAAGCCAGAAGACCGTTTTCAGCCGCTATACAAGAAAAGCACACTCTTTGCGTCACATCCCAATGCGGTCATGAGAGAGGACACAGAAGGGGGGGAAAACCGAAGCTATATTTTGCCTATGTGTGTCTTCTGTCTGCATCACATGGTGGCTTAAATACCTAAATCAGGGGTCCCCAACCTTTCTGAATCTGCAGGCACCTTTGGAGTTCTGATATAGCGTGGTGGGTGCAGCCAAAAATGGCTTCCAGTTTACCTTCAGTCACGCAGTGAAGATCTTTGATTTGTGGTGGCAGCTGCTGCCAAAGCAATGGTTGAAAAAATCTGCGGCGCCAATCAAATTTCCAATGACCAACCAGAAGCCTTGTGGGGCAAAAGCCCCACAGGGCACCGCCTACTTTCTAAAAACACTTAGCAGGCACCACGTTGAGGAGCCATGACCCACGCAGATCTGCTCTTCCACCAAAATGAAGGGCCAGTTCATGCTGCCAAGGGAGCTCCATAGATACAGACTTCCTATGTCCATTGAGAAGTCATCAGAGATTTGGGCAACGATCTTTTTCTGCCTCTTACAGCCTGCTTCCTTCCAGGTCATGACACTCCCATCCAGCTCACCTTCCTTCCTTTGCTTCTCATTCAAGTTTTGCAGGAAGTTCTGCAAGCCAGCCATCTTTTGTTCTTCTGGCCTAATTCTCAAAGCTCCAGATGCTTCGTGTCTTTCCACAAACCCGAACAGCTGTCAAAAGCAAAAGGACCAGAAGCTGTCAAGAGCAGGCTTTCTCTTGGCCTCATGAGCACAAATTAAGCACTGCCCACCCGGTTCCTTAGTTTATCAGTCTTCCTGCACATAAAATCCACAGGATTTTACAGGATAGGACTGACCCTTCTTGCCTCTTTTCCATGCTCAGACGGACAGACAATCTTGCTGCTTCCTCGGAGCCACCCTTCTCAGCAATACCAGAGATCAGACAGCTGTCGGGGAAGGCAACAAGCTGTGCTGACAGCACACAAGGATTAATAGAATGGGCCCAGACCCTGTCAGCAGAGATGTATGAACAGGCCTGAGCTAAAACAGGAGGGATATTTCCATGAACATTTTAGTCAGTGTCAAGAATGGGTGAGAAATGGGTCTAAAGCGTTCACCTCTTCTGGAAGCATTACCCTACACAAGGTCTGATTGCCCTCACTTATGTCACCATGTTCACCACATGATCCCTGATTGGCTAGGACCATCTTTGTAACCAGCCCAGGAATTATCAGCTTGAAATGCACTTGCATGGAGTCGCGTTTGAAAACAGGTTGGAAACTTCAGTTCATCTGAAATGCAGCAGTCGGGCTATTGTCAGGTGGGATACAGGGATGCCATCGCCCCAATGCTGAAAGATCTGCACTGGCCGCCCATTCGTTTCCAGGCACAAGCTGAAGTGCTCGTTCTTATCTTTAAAAGTCCTAAATAGCTCGGGGGCCAGAGTACTTGAAGGACCACCTCCTCCCATATTTCCCAGCCTGCCAGTTAAGATCTGCCCTTGCTCTCTGTGCTCCTGCCCTCAAAGGTGAAACAGGTAGTAGTGGCACCTTGTTGGGAAAATGGCCTTCCTCTTGAGGCTTGCCTGGTGGCTAAGTTGTTTTCATTTAGGTGCCAGGCCAACCCATATTTTTAATTAAGGGGCTGATTGCTGTAGTAGAAGACAAAGATGAAGAAGAAGAGGAGTTGGTTTTTATACCCCACTTTTCTCTACCATAAAGAATCTCAAAATGATATACGATCGCCTTTCCTTTCCTCTCCCCACAACAGGCACCTTGTGAAGTAGGTGGGGCTGAGAGAGTTTTGAGAGGACTGTGACTGGCCCAAGGTTACCCAGCAGGCTTCATGTGGAAGACGAGTGGGGAATCAAACCCAGTTCTCCCATATAAGAGTCTGCACTCTTAACCACTTACTATGCTGGTTCTTAACACTGTTTTAGCCTGGAAACGGTTGTTTTAAGTTGTCTGTGGTCTGTTTTTTGATCTATGTTTTTTATGCTGGATTGGGGCTTTTGTAATGCTGGATTTTAATTAATTTCTTTCTAATGTTTTGTTTTTATGGTTTTTATTTTGTATGCTGCCCCAGACAGGTTCCTAGAGGGGTGGCACAGAAAGGTTCTGAATGAATGAATAAATAAATAATCAGCTTCAGTGATGCCGGCATACAGCTAAATGTGATTTGCTGCGGTGTGTCATGATGTTATCATGCTCACTGTGTGATCCCCCGACTGTATCAGATCATTACAGGAAGAAAGACGTCCTAACCAGAAAAACAGTCAAAAACAGGAGCAGACAGGAAACACGAATGGCAGCAAATGGGATTCCATAAAGGTGAACCTTCTCATTGTCATCGTTCCCCTCCCAATACTACAGTCATCCTGAAAATGGAAACAAAGAACATCGGGCACAGCCCTGCTATAAGCTTTGCAACCAGGGCTGCCACTCTGAGGAATGGCAGGATTTGGTGCCCTTAAGAATCTCTGGCTTTGTTGTTGACTGGTGTTGTTGACCTGGGGCGATTTCGCACTAGAGCTGCCTCACGGCGCAGCCGCCGTTTGCCCCGACACAAATATGTCAATTTCACACCCGAAGCTGCTGGGGGCTGCATTTTGACTCGCGGCTTCGCCCGATTTCCTCCGCAGTTTAGTGATCCTGGTTTTTGAGGATCACGAAAGTGTCGGGGCAAAGGGCGGCTGCGCCACGAGGCAGCTCTATTGCGAAATCGCCCCGAGTGTTGACTGGACCCGATCACGCCAGTCTTGTTCCTTCAGCACTGGCACCCAATTTGCTTCCAGGCTCAATTCAGGGTGCTGATATTGACCTTCAGGGCTACCTTCTCCCATGTGAACCTGCCCAGCCTACCCTGTTTCAGGTGCTCCTGCCATCTGAGGCTAGATGGATGGCGACACAAGGAGGAGCCTCCTCGAAATCATGGCACCAAAACTTTGGAATTCCCTCCCTGGGGATATAGATATGGCTCAGAGGTTAAGATCCTGAGCTGCAGACCAGAAGGTCGGTAGCTCAGCAGTTCGAGACCCGAGTGCCGTGTGACGGAGTGAACTCCCATCTCTGGCCCCAGCTCCTGCCAACCGAGCAATTTGAAAGCAAGAAATTGCGAGTAGATAAATAGGTACTGCTTCGGTGGGAAGGTAACAGCGTTCCGTGCACCTCGGTGTCTAGTCATGCTGGCCACATGACCATGGACACGTCTTCAGACAGCGCTGGCTCTTCGGCTTGGAAACAGAGATGAGCGCCGCCCCCAAGAGTCGGATTCGACAGGCTTTTGAGCAAGGGAAACCTTTATCTTTACCCTGGGGATATTTGTTTGTCTCCTTCTATCACAGGTGAAGACTTTTTTCTTTTGTTTGTCATACCCCCAACAATTATTATTGGCATTCCTACCTGGTTTTAGTGTTAGCAGGGCTTTTTTTCTGGGGGAAAGCGCTGGAACAGAGTTCCAGAACCTCTTCGACAAAATTCTTTTTAAAATGTTTAAAAGTTCATGAATTTTCAGTATACAGATTGAAAACTTCGTTTCCCTCTTGAGAATTCCGGCCCCTCTTTCCCCCCCCAAAAAAACAAAAAAAAAAACCATATGCATGTTCATATGTTTTCATTGAATTGCTTATTTTATATTTACTTTATCTGAAATGCTGTTTTCATGTTCAAATGTTTCCACGTTCTCCACTTTGAGGACCCAATTTTGATGGAAACTAAGGCAGCATAAAATATTTTAAACAAACAAGCTGACAACCATTTTTCACCCGTCAAGGCCAGAGCGATGTCTGCTGATGTCTAAGAGGGGGGCAGGGCAGCTGAGCCGGGCTTCCAGGAGGCAGGAGGCAGGGCTCCACCCCCCAGGAGACAGCTCTCTGCCCACCCTCCTTAGCTGGGGCA